CTTGTATGCTCTCAACTGATATGAAGCAGGCCATGTAAACACAAGATTGAGCATATAAAATTGTCACTTAGGGGTGCCTAGTACTGCCAGATTTCAGACTACCTAAGACAAAAGACAGACCTGTGTATATAAACATCTTACAGCACTTTATGACAGGAGGCCTATTTAGATAAGATTTTAATGTTAAAATTAGTAAGTAAAACCTAACTTGCAAGATTCCCTGCTGTTAAAAGCATTTGTTTGAAGAGCTCCCAGGATAAAGATTTGAGGAGTTCAGACATGAGTTTAATAAACTTGTCAATTCAAACATTCTTGCTTAGATCATTACAGTGTTTACCAGGTCCAGCAAGCCACTCAATGTCAGCTTAAAGTAACACTCTACTGTTTAATCTTATGAGAACAGCAGTTCAACTACTTCATTTTTGCTATCACACTGAACTTTGTGGATGGATATAGAAGTTCACAGGCAGTGTGTAGGTTTAGTATCTCAGTTCCCCTAACCCCTTCCTGCGCTAGCTGTTCCTATCTAGCCTTAGAAACAGCACATTAGATATAAGCAATATTCTTATGCAAAACTAATTTCTCTGCCTACCAAGCCACTTGGTAGCTACAGAAACATGCAAAAAAGCTCACTGCTACCAACAAATACACACAGCCTGGATAAAGACAGTTAACTCAGGTACAAAGGGAATACAGTGTCATACCTTTGTATCATGCAGTAGTTTCATTGCTCCTATATCTTGTGCATATTCTTCCATGTCAAAGTCAATCTTGTCATAAAGTGCCATCTCCTCATCACTAAGAGATGCTACTGCTTCATTAACACCTGGGATCAGAATTTTCCCTTTCTTGTCTACAAGGGAACCTGCAAAACAAAGCACTTAAGATCAGCAGCTAACCACCTGAACTACCATGCCAGTATTTGCAACACTTCCCACATTAAGTGGGAGTTTTAGTTTTGTCTTTTGACAATTTCCTATATACAAAAAGGTATTACACTACAACAGCCTTTCCTACTAGGCATGGAAGGGACTTATGGAATCTTGCAGGTTAGCATTAATCATGGAGTGACTTGTTCCTGCAGCTATCCAGTCTGCCCTCTGTACCTGTATTTAAACCTATTACTATCTGTTTTATCTGACTTTGACAACAGGGTCTCCCAAGTTCAATACAGTATCTGTGTCAGTATGGAGAAAACAGTGGCTTTGGTTAGAAATTATATTTTTAGGGGAAGCTAAAAATATACAACTTCTTGGCAAGAAGTTTCTTCATCTTTGAAGCATCTTCCTATTTTACACATAGCTGGGAAGCACCATTTCATCAGTTATGACTTTGCTTGTACAAGCTGCCATTAAGAGCCCCTCACTGGAAACAAACTCTTCAGTGGGTCTTAAAATGCATTTCAGCTGCATTCAGTGAAACCTGCTTTCTTACCCATCAGAGCAATGAGATCTGTCATTGCCTCATGCACTGAGCCACCATAAACTCCTGAGTGAAGGTCTTTGTCACTACATTCCACCTGGGTTTAAATGAATTCAGAGATTCAGGTTAGTTTTAGCATGAAGACACTGACAACTGAACATAACACCTGCTATCCTATCTTTTTGCTGTTTTGAGAACTTACATTTTGGAACCAAAACATTCAGTTTGAGTATACTAGAGCCTAAGTGCTTTTGATTGCTCTGGAGAATACAACCCCAACTGTTCTAGTCTTGGAGACTTAACAGTCACACATCCTTCTCCATTCAGGGAAGGATCTGTATGAAGGTATCTACTTTGTAGAACAGTTCTCCAGTAAGACTACCAGCTTGTTTTGCTATTCCTTCTCCATAGCTGTCATGCAGGAGAAAGGAAGATCTTTAGACAATTACATTAGAAATTGTTTTGCTTCAATGGTCTAGTTCAGCTTCTCTAAATGAAAGCTACTGTCATGGAAGTTGACCACTCACCTACACTACTAAAAAAATACAACTCGGTAGTACTGGTGTGACCATGTATTTTAGAACTTGCCTCTATGAAGTAGTAGCAGATACCCCTCAAACCATAGGTGATACAAGGCTTGTTCTTGCCTAACCAGTAGTTGTCAGAAATGCAAATGTAATCCACGTCTTTGAAGAACGCATCTCGTTCAGCAAAAATCAACTCATCAAGGCCTGCAGACCCAGATTCTTCCATGCCTTCTAGACAGAACTTAATGTTTACTGGAATCTCCTACAAAAAATAACAGATTAAATATGTTGAAAATATTGGACTATAGCTGTCAATTGTTTATTTTGATCCCTGTTGCATACAGGGTGGAACAGGCAGTTTTGTTAATTGCACCCAAAGCAGGTTTCAGAAAGTGTGGACTATACTTAAATTGAGGGCACTTTCTACCTTTTTTGAAAAGCTGAAACTTTTGACAATTCAAGCCAAGTTCTCAAACTAACATCTCCCAAACAACTTCACTGTGCACAAGCAGAGATTTCAGTTGCTAGATGTCACAAGTTAGGAGAGCTAACATTAACCACAAGAGAAGTTGCATGCAGCAACAAATGATTCAGAGTTACCCTGTCCGCTCAGTTTTCACATTCTCTGCCTAGGCAGCACTCAAATTGCCAATTCTCTTCATAACGAAGTCTTTAAATGCATAGCAACAGCTGGGGATCTCTTATGTCATTTGCTCCTGAGCAAAACCAAGACATCCTCTAGTTTAATGTAACCAAGTTAACCTCCTCTCCGAATTCAGTGTTGAGACACTAAACTGTCAAAAAGCAAAGCTGATTTGACATCCCTGTGTAAGAAAAGTATTGGTTATTCCTCCTGCTTCAAGTGCTCACATAAGCACTTTCTTTACATGCTGCATTATAACAGAAGTGTTTAAAGGGCAATCCAGCTATCAGTGAGACTAACTTATCAGCAAGTCAACTCATTCCTACCACAAAGTCAGCAAGTTTAGAGTATTGCATCACTTGTGATCAGCAGAGTAAGCACACCCACCTCACACATGTTTGTGGCTTGGGTAGCCTTTGTTATTCAGCTATGCATAAAAAAGTAGGATGATTTTGGCTGCATACCTGGTTAGTTTTTTGATAAGCCTCCAATACATTCAGCCACGCAAGCACTGGACCTTTATCATCTGTTGATCCTCGTCCGTACAGCTTTCCTAGGGAAACAGGAGAAAATTAGCCAGGGAGAAGTTTCAGATGAAGGCTCACACCTACAGCAGACTTTAGAATCCTTTTGAATGAGCTTTTTAAACCTTGCTCAGGCCAACCTGCACTTCCAATTCTGAAGCACAACTTCAAATACACATGCAGTAGGTACAGGGCTGCAACAGTTCTCCCACTTAAGCTTATCCTCTAACTTCTTCCTCAGTAGGAATTAAAAAAGAACAACAGTGCAAAGGCAATTGAAACTAAGTCATTGCAGTGTCTCACAAATATGCATTGCAACATCATTTTTCCACAAAGGTATTGTTAAGAATATGGAAACAAACCACCACCATTTAGCAAGAGCATAACCAATATTAACTTTAAGTTGGTAATTCTTTGCTTTGACAACATACATGACTTAAGTAGCTAGTGGCCAGACACTTCCCTGAATTTTCTGAAGTGAACCTCCCTGGAAAGCACCAGGGAAGTCCCAGGAAGTATAACACACTAAAGACAGGTATTTTTACTAGTTGGAGCTGTGGATACATTCCCTATGCACTAGGTATAAGCAGTGACAGATCAGACCAGAGTTTGCAAAATGAGGAGCCAGGGGGTAAATACACCAGACTGCACAGAGATAAACCAGTCAGAGGCAAGCTTAGCTATGAGATGAGATAATCCAACTTATTCTGTTGCCTATGACAAAGTTCCCAGGCAAGAACACTAGTTACCAGATGCTTTTTCATGGCAATGATCAGCCCTGATACTGACACAACAAGAACTGTTAATGTCCTTTTATTTCTGTTACCTAGGACTCTTAAGACTGAGAGACTGAGACACAGAAGACCAAAGCTTAGCACCCTCAGTGGCTCCTGGCAGCATGATGCTTCAGCAAGAGCAACCATGCCATTTTTAACACCATTTATGCCAGAACCACCTTCCTGCAGGTACTAGCTGTGTACGACCAACTGCTGCAGCAGTTACAGTAGCACTGCATGCAGGAGGCTGCTGTGCCACTCCTGTCCCTAGGCCTAAGCAAGCTGGGCAGAATGCTTGTCTATGCAGTGGCTTGAAAACCCACCGGTCTCATGGTACAGGGCCACTTTGCAGGCTGCAAGCAGAGTCAGCTCCTCTAGCAAGCTTGCTGGCAACAAACTGTTACACCCTAGTTAAGACAGGAGTCTTAACTACAGAGAAGACAACACAGGTAGAGCCTGCACCCTCAGAAAATGAAATAAGCCTCAACAGCTGAGATCAACAACCCTCCTTTATTTACCATTTCACCCCTGCACCATTTACTTCCATCATTTAACAACAAAAGCCCACTTACATCTTTGCTTCACTCCTTCCCATCAGCAGGACAGCTTCACAACAGTTGATAAACCACACTGAAAGCCTGCAGCTCTTACCATCTCTTTCCACCAGTGTGAAGGGTTCGCTGTCCCAGCCATCTTCTAGAGCTGCTGGCTGAACATCTAAGTGGCCATATACACACACAGTTTTTTTGGATGGATCTGAGCCTAGTTTTCCCAGGAGAATTGGAGGTAGAGGGATCTCTGATCCATCAGGCAGCTAAAAATAGTAGAGAAGTTCAATAAGTGTGGAACATGATATTTTTCAGATGAATGAATTAACATTATGCCTCTAACTTCACAGCCTTTTCAGACAGCTGGGCAAAACTAAGCTACCTAACCTGCTTGCCAGAAGCAGAGTGAAGCCTGTGAAGTATCAGCACCAGGCCAGTAAAAGTTTCCTGACAAGTTTCAGTAATAAGGCATTCAGTTTCCAAGCTAGTCAAGAACCATTTTAACTAATATTCCTACATCAGATTTCAGCAAGGCAAGCTGTCTACATGCCAAGCTGCTTTAAACAAAGCAGACCTAAGCATAAAAGCTTAACTCAGCTTAACACTATTTTGCACTGTCACTGTACTTTGGTCTTGTCCACAATAGGGCCTCATACACAAAGTCTCCCCACACAGTATCCACAAGCCTAGCATGTGCCTCCATCCAAATAAAGTTAGCACTTCTATCATTTTTTAACCAGCCTATGCTGCCAAGCAAACAGCACAGGAGCTTAATCCTAGTTCAGGAGTTGAATTTGATGCTTCTTTTTGAACACCCCAAAAGCAATTACCACATTATTCCCAAATACATACTGCCTGAGCAGGATCACCAGCAGCAGCTTTTTTGCTCATATAGGCTCCAAGTTTAAATGTTTATCAATGGGTTGCCATCCTTGGCCAGTTGCAGCTTTAGAAATTAAGGCAAAAACAAGTGCTTACACTTAATTCATACTCATTACAAGTTTCCTTACAGCAATAAACTAAGCCAGAACAAATAAGTTAACCAGTTACTTTATATTAAAGCTATATCAAAGAAGTACAAAGCATATATTGCACTGACTAGTTTTACAAAAACCCTAAATGCTCATCTCTAGTTTGTTCCTGGAAGAGTGTTTTCTAAATGGAAGTTTTATTTCTAATAAGCTTTGAAAAAACAGTTGACCTCAAAGTTATCCTGAGGAAGGGAACTAAACTTGCCTCAGACTGAATTCTGAAACACTTTAGATGTTATTTTAGGCTGTTGGTGAAAAGCACTAGGATTCTCCTAGAGATTCTCAAGAGCTTCCTCCCCTCAATAGGGCATATGAAGTCAGCTAGTACATTGCTGCAGTACAACGCAGAACTTTAGTTCAATGCAGGAGCTGCTCTTCTGAGCAGTGATTTCGGATTTCACACAGTAGTCATTATCACTAAATACAGCAACCATCTTTCAAAGCGAGCAAACACTCTATCCAGTAGAGCAGCCTTTAAAATCTCATTATCTACATACTAGTCTAACAACTTTGGATGGGCCTTATTCTGCAAGGCTTCATAGTCTCCTCTAAAGTGCCCAGTGGCTATGAGGTAAATGGCTCCCAGGATGAAGACATTAATGCTCTCAAACACATTTATTTCTCAGGTGAGGAAATGTTGTCTGGACAGCTAGGAAACAAGGGTTTCACCCTGTAAGCATCTGTCCCTACCTGAAAGGTAAGTAGGACAACCCTGTGATACTGGAAATGCTCTCCAGGAAGACTTCCTGAAAAATAATGTAACAGCCTATACATGTCCAAGGGACACCACCAGCCCACTGGTGTTCAGAATGCCATTAACTAATTTCTTTTTGCAAGCACCTGTTTGTGCTCAGTTAGAAAAGTTAGAAGAGTATCTAAAATATTTTAGACTCACCTAATTCCAATAGGACATGCTTAACTAATATGGATCCCAAAATTTATGACAGTTAGTTTTTCACAGGAAGCTCAGACTAGTAGGAGAGATTATCCTCATCAAGAGGTTATCTAGGCCATCATCCACAAGAGACTTGTCTTTAGAAAGACTTTCCACCAAGCTGACACAAGTAGATGCTCACAAACCTGCTGCTGCCCAAGATCCACAAGTTGGGTTGTGCCCCCGAGCCGCTCAATATCCTTTGCAGCAACCTCCATCATGTGCCTGATCTCAGCCCTCTTCTCTGGCCATGCTGACACACTCTGGATTGCCACCCACTCAGCCAACCGCTGCAGAAAGACAGAAAAGTTAGAACTTTTATTGCAATCACAAAAATACAATACCTCACAACTCCAACACTGTTTAAAACTTAAACTTGATGCAAGTCAGCTGTTCTCTAAGCAAAGAGCACTAACCATTGGTATTGTACTCAAAAGACCTCCCTAAAACTTTCATACAACTGTGCTTTACAGGGTAGTAAAAAGACACTCTACAGATACAGAAGCAGAGATTAAGAGCATTGCAGCTGGTGCACCAGCAGCTTAGTGTGCTTACAGGCACGTTCTCCACAGGATTGGGTGAAGGAAGTGCAGGCTAAAGTAAAATTAATTAGCAGAGCTAATCTGCCAAGTGCAGAAGGTAACCTTCCCTCCATTCCAACATGAACAGTTTCACATGAGAAAGCTTTTTATTCTACTCTGGTTTATGCTAACTCTCACTCCTAGCTCATGAAGATGACAACACAAATCCAGTGTTGGGATTAGTCCTGGATGGGACAAATCCAGGACTTACTGTGTCAGGGACTTATTCTACCTCTACCCAAGTCATTGATTTCACTATACTAAACAATTTCCTAATAAAATGTACCATGGAAAGTTAAGTCTAACCGAACAGAACCTCAGCAGAACTCAAGGAACAAAACAGGAGCGCTCTGACTCGACTCACTCATATCTTGAAAGGGAGAACTAGTTCCCTACAAAGCTACAGGCCTTTAGGTGTATTATACAGGCATAACTTAACAGGCTTGAAGTTGACCACTGGTCTGTTTCTATTAGGTGTCCTGCAGTGCAGGACACCCCTTTGAAAGAACACTTACCTGAACATAGAGATCTTGGTGGTCATCAACGTATTTAAAGAGTGTTTCAAGGGCAGACATCTTCTGACTAGAATGGTGCTTCTGAAACCGAGATAAAAAAAATAATTTAGCCCAGAGGCCTAACCAAAAATACACTCACAATAATCAAGCAGCAAAAAAAGACTTTCTCCTTACAGCTATAAGTGTCAAAAGGCACTCCAAGAGTCTGAAACTGAAGCAACTCCCTCTCACTCACTGCTAAAATATCCCAATCAGTATTCACCTCAAATCCTCCATTCTTCCCTCCAGAAGGGACTGAAAGTTATGAGTTTCAGTCTGTAAAGATTTCAACCAACCTGTACACTCCACTTCACTGTGGGTAAGCAGACAAAGCACTATTCTAGTCAAGTATACTATTATAGCTATTAAATCTATATTTACATTTCATCTTCCCCATAGAGCACAAAAAGCAGGCAGTTATAGCTTTGTTTTATTCATCTTTTAAGTCATAACCTGCCACCTGGCCCTTCAAAAATGGTCAGAGTAGGAACTAGCTCTAACCCCATCAAGCTATAAACAAGCAGTCTGACACTAGTGATTCTGCTGCCTAGTTTGGTTTCAGCAGAAAGCCATAAGAACCACCCAGACTCTCTCCCCTCAGTTTTAACAGCACAAAAATTGATAGACTATTTGAGACCATGAGCAAACCTTCCAACACCAGCATCCTATGCTGAACAACTATGTTCAACAGCATGAGCTGCAGCAATTCCTTAGTTTCAGTCAGCTTTAACTAAGAGCCCTCACTCTTTTGTGCTTCAAAAAGGGAAGTCACAAGACAACTGTGATAGTTGTTTGTTAAAGCACATGACCCAGTGTTTGCTCTGGGATTTAAGCAGGCCACTCCTCTACACAGGAGGAAAATACTTTCAAGCTGCAGGCTGCCCTACACAGCACACTGATATGAGCACATCTTATCACAGGAGGCTTACAAAACACTTTGAAGATGGTTTTTCCCTGCAAACAGAATCTCTCACTTGCAGACAACAGTTCACAGCCACATCAGTAGTGATTCACAGTAGCAATAAAGCTTAAGATATTCAATTTTAGGCACCCGTTGAATCAAACCCCTTCTTAACAACGGTGTCAGAATCAAACACTGAACTGCTGGATGTCTCAAGCACTCCCTAAGAGCCAAGAAGAGGCCAAGGCCTGAGAAAAATGCAGCATACTCAGAAAAATCACAGGGCCCTAACTGAGTTAGGGCAAGGCTCTGGCTGAAGCTCCTCCTCCAGGAGGATCAGCACTGAGCATGACAGCAGCCGTGGAGCACAGTGCCAGCAGCCAGGCTGCCATTCTGCCAACACAAGCAGCACAGCTGCTTGCTCAGCTCAGAGATTACTCACACGATCACCCTACACACACTGGAGCTCTCCTAAGAAAGGCCAAGGGGCACTCACCCACTGGAGCCTCCGTGCAGCGTGGCAAGGACACAGTCCTGCCCAGGGGACCTCCCGAGGAGGGGCGGATGCGCTGCAGGGCCGGCCGGTACTTACTCA